GAACGTAGATATGTAAGAATATTCCACTATTGTTGATAAATAACGATTTTAGAGAGATTTTAGTTTGCGACTCGGCTGATGACGTCATATATGAAATTTTTTTTAATGAACCTCATATTCACAAATACTACATCATTCGATGCGTTATAAATGTACGAACGTAGATATGTAAGAATATTCCACTATTGTTGATAAATAACGATTTTAGAGAGATTTTAGTTTGCGACTCGGCTGATGACGTCATATATGAAATTTTTTTTAATGAACCTCATATTCACAATTACTACAACATTCGGGGAGGTATTATTTATAGATAAATCAACTAGTTTTACTTCATAGACGGATGAAAAATACGATTTGAATAAATTAACTATATCATTACCATTATTAGCTTCCTCATTGAAATAAGACATTGTACACGGTAATTTATTAGTTGATTTTTTAGAATTAAAATATGTCCAAAAGTATTTCGGATTAACTTTAACCATGCGTTGAACATTATCAACATAAATGTTATAATCACGTCGTCTTAAATAATTACATTTTTTTCCGTAGAGAGGTGAATTCTAAGTATGAATTTAAACTATTTGATGTTTTGTAGAAGTAATGTGTGAATTTTTTTTGTTTTATTACATTTTTTAATTCTTTACTAAACCAAATGGGAAACTTTGAATTAAAACTGCACAATTTAGGTATAAAAGTATTTATTGTATGATATATATGATAATAGAAAAAATCTGTTTTCATTTATATTGCCAGTTTGAAAGTTATTTATCCAATCAATGGATCCTAATTAGTTTACAATGGACCTATAATTACCTGATTTCCACTTGTAAAAGTAGTTATAATATGATAAAGTTTCATTATACGAATATTTAAGAATAATATTTAATGGAGGATGCAGTTTATCGACAGGGATAATAGGATTATCTATTTTATCAACGTTTATAAGAAAAGAATTAGATATTACAAAGTCGATAATTGCATTTTTAATATTTTTTATGGTATAGTTATCAATTTTCATAACACTTATTATGGAGTAATATTTAAGTCTATTTATTAGGAATCAAATAATATAAGAGTCACTAGAAAGTTTAAACTGAAAAGTCTTTATTAAATATGTAAACAATTCTTAAAAATAATACTTATAAGCTCAATTTAAATAATATAACTAAACATATATTGCATTAAAAAGCTTTTTTAGTAATAATAATTATTTATAAAGTTAATTCATTAATAAAATTAATAAAGTTTTCATTAATTTTAAAGTTCGATTTTTCGAATTTTTTTTTAATAAATATACTCGTATCTATTTATCTAGATAAATTATGATCGATAATTAAAGAATTTATCTTAGATAGTTCATCAGATAACTAATTTTATTTATTATCTAGATAAAATAAAGGATAATTAATTATTAATATAGATAATTTATTTAGATACTTTATCTAGATAATGCTCAACACTGGTGATTATACAACAGTGTTCTGAATTTAGAGTGAAGTGACCATAATAAATGCTCTGATCGTCAAAATGAAAACGGTTTTCTGATAATATTTTGCGTATAGATAATGCATTCAAGTAGTTATATTTTTTTGATTAGAATGTGTTTTGACAGAGAAGGCGTGGGTGTATATTATGTAATTTTTAAAACAAAATTTAAATTCTATAAAACAATATTAGAAAATCGCTATACATACTGGCAAAATGGAGTGTTTATTTTTGTCAAAAACATGTTTTGTGATCATATTGATAGACGTTTTAGTGAATTAGGAGATTGGTACTTATAGTATGTAAAAGTAGTGCAAGCCTATTATTTTCATCAGAATCACCTTGAAATATATGTAATAAAAGTACTTTAAATTTTTCCAGACGAAAATGGTAACATAATATCTCAAATACGAACTTTGCGCAAGTCAGCTAATTTGATTAAAAATTAGAAATTTTTATTGTTAGTTGGAAATGATAAATATTTTTTTTCTCAGTAATCAATATAATGATTACATAAAAAAATAATGGCGTGTAAGAAGAATAAATCTTTTTACATAATCGTGAAAAACTGTATTTACAAAGTATTAAATTCAACATAAATATATGTAAATAATATGAATGCATACATTCGGGACGGTTTTAAACCGCTTTCATTTTTATTTTTTATTTGAATTCTAATAAAAATACAAATATAAATAACAACAATAAAATATACTTTAATTTTTTTGCTTACATTTGAATATTAAACGGCGTTCTGTATAGGCAATTATGTTACATTCATGTGTACAAACAATTAAATAGTTCAATAATACAATAAAATATGAAATAGAAATGTTATCTATTTAATAATAAGTAATGAAAAGTTAACATAAAATTTGATACAAGTGATCCATAAAACATAACATCACATGCTATAATAAGACAAAATTAGACGTTTTAATTGAGTTTCCAAAAGGGGGAGGGGACTGATGAACCTTGAGTACAGAGGCCCGGCTATTTTTAGGGCTCGTGAGCCCGTTTAAATTAATTTGTTATTTTTAAAATTTAAATAGAAATACTTATTTTATATAAATAATATTATAAAATATCATTTTAAGAAATATATAAATAGTCTCTGAATCAAGTTGTCTGAATTTTTAAATTTTATAAAGAAGTCCATGATTTTACTAATATTAATTTATGCTGGGTGATATTAACAAAGTTCTCCAGTATTTTTAATCTTCTCTCATACTGGAAAAATAATATTGAGAAAAATGAGAAATGATCTGTTTACCTCCGAGGCCAATTTTTAGAAAATGTCTTCGTAGTTTTATTTTTTTACCAACTAAAATATTTACCCGTTTTTTCGTTAGTAATTTAAAATATAAACCTGTTTCTAGCTTTACGGCTTACAGAGTTCGATTTAACTAACGTATGTATACAAAATATAATTTCTACAAACATTAATTCTTTAAACTCAATTTTTTTTTTTTATTGACAAAATAATGAAACACTTTATTTTGTAGTTGGAAATGATTAACACCAAAACATTTAATAATAATAATTATCATAATAGACTTGTTTCATAATTAATGTATAAAAAAAGCATTAAATGCTAAAAATGCATAATTTTCAGATATTTTTAAATTACATAATTTAAAAATCCACAACAATATCATTACACAAAATAAAATTCCAAAATATTTGATAGTTTTTGCACCACAATGGTAACAATACCAACGAATTAAAAATAAATATATAAATTGTTAAACAAAATATAAAAATGTACAGCTCTTACTATTGTAATAACTTATCAATCCAAATGCAGTGGCGTACATTTAATCTTGCTTTGGGGAGTTAACAAAAATAATCGTTATCTTTTTTTTTTCGTTGCACAGATAAATAAAATAAATAACTGCTATAAATAGATATTATTTTACCAATTTACAGTTTACTTTTACATTGCAGTAAATTAATCGCTATTGGATTATAAAAACAGCACAGTTAACTAAACTTTACAAACACCTATCAATTTAATTATTTAATTATCATAATATTTGTTTAATTGTATATTTTAAGTTCAAAGCGTAATAATGAAACTACGAATATATTACACGTCATCAATAATAAAACAATTTTTTTTTTTTTGGCACTGGAGGGAGTTTGAAACCAGACACCCCCATGTACGTCACTTTCAAAATGTATACCTTATTTAGTGCCGATATAATATCTTAGATTAACGTAACTTAGATGAATATAATATTAAATTAACTATTGTGTAATTAACATTAAATTTTTCATAGATTTACAACGGTTTATTTAAAGTTAATAACGTGCATGTTACTTCTTGTTTAACTGCTTTCCTTTGGTGGAACATTAGTAGGTTCTCGTGGCCTCGTGAAAAATGAAATAATATCGATTGGCAACGGAAACACTATAGTAGAATTTTTCTCAGCTGATATTGTGTTCAAAGTCTAAAAGGAAAATATAACACAAGTATTATGAAGTATTAGTTTGTCAAAAGTAACACTTGAATTCGACGGGGCATTTTAGTTGCGTCCCACTATATATTTGTTAGGTAGTAGAGTTTTATTTCGTTTCAGGGGTTCTCCGTGGTGTGTTAATTATTATAAGGTAGCCTAGGCTCTAATATTATATTTCGATAGTAATATATTTTACGATAATGGATAGCAAGTTAGTTTATCATAATCGTAATACGACCTCTATTATACCTATACTATATCGATAAAGCTTTGTATTATATTTATGTGTGTACAGCATTTAGTTTCACAATGTTCTGGATTTACCAAGATGATATAAAATACTTGATTAGGTACAGTATCTACTATTAATAATTGTTGAATTTAGTATATATTTTACTGCAGTTCAGTCTTCGTTCGTTATTTTTTCGTATACCTACGTGAGCTGTGATAACTGTATAGTTTTAAAATGGAAATACAAAATATTAATAGTGAAAAACAAAAACATTTGAAAATAATTGACAAATATAAGTTCTGTTTTAATAAATATATGGCTAATAATATTCAACGTTGGACATGTACCGTTTAAGCGTACTCAAGAATTATATGAAAGACCAGCTAAACTAATGCATCGACATTTAAAAGAAAGTATTGATATCAGTGTTAAAAGTACATTAAAAATTACAGATATTCACTATGTAAAAAATAATTTGTATCGAGCTCGAAGTGAACAGCTACCAAAATTTATTTATTTATAAAATTATTTATTTAATTTATTATAAAATTAGTTAATTTTTGTTAGTTGTTTAAGAACCCTTAATTAAAATACATGAATTTTTTGGGATGCAATTCGTGTATACCTTTTTTACGGGACGCAACTCGTGTGCTCCCGAATTCGAATACATTGATGTTAATGGTATAAAATATAATCGTCACACTTTCGCATGGTATAATTATTGATTTTTATTATTTTATAACCAAGAAAATATACACTTGGTCGGTATTATTTCACAAAATGTACATGCATTTTACCCTATAGATTACTTGTTCTTTGGCACTCAAAAATTATGTAATATGTCTAGGATGGTCGGAATTTTATAGCAACAGAAATAATAAATAAAAAATATAGCAAAGAAGAAAAAATGGATTTGGAAGCGTTTGGTTTTTCAATTTATTCTAATATGGATGTCTATTGTACAATGTGCATATGCTTTTGAAGTACTTGCATAAATCACGTTTCTCTATCATGGATTCAATAACGCCTACAATCTGTTTGTTATTTCCGTTTGCTCCAATGCCGCGAACAAAACCTCTAATCGCTGATCCTATATCTTCACCTAATACAGTTATGTATTGTATTGATTTAAATTCTAATAATTCATATTATTAGAATTTTAACTATTTATTTGATAAATACGCTTTGATGTTGCTTTTGAAGCGCAAGCGACTTGAAATATTAACAATATCTAAATTATATTTACAATTGAAAACGAATCTCAATGGAAAAAACCTGATTTCGGATAATGGTTTCAACCAGCATGGCTTATATAATAAATTTTCAACCCTCTAAATCTATGAAAAAAATTGTAAACTACACTGTGATTTGAAACCACTCGGTAATATCGAAAAATTAAGTTAAAAAAGTGTTTATGTATAATTAATACCCTATTTTTTTGAAAATATTACTTAAACCATGCTTAACATTGAACCGATTAATAGTAAAATTCACCATTTATTCGATTGTACTTACTTGTAGATATCTGAGCTGCAGAGCAGCCGGAGAATCGCTTATGACTTCGGAAGCTTCCCGGAGTGCTCGTGATGCTTTCTGTTCACCTTCCGCCGCTATGACTTTCGCTCGAGCTTCCCGGGCCGCCTCTGCTTCAGCTGCCATAGCCCTCTGCAACTGCACCGGCAGCCGCACGTCTTTACTATAAAAGTAAATCGCCGATGCATAATTATTAGTAACAATATGTTGTGTATACAATACTAGCATATGATATAAATTGGTAATCGTCATTAGTGACCCATACGTCAAAAGTTGAACTATTTTCACGGATGATGAATGAACACCTATAGATATTGTACTCATTTACAAAGTAAAAGCAAATGATGAGTTTATTATTTGGCGATTTAAAATCAACAAAATAATGGTGAATTATGTCGAGTGAAACACGGGACAGAAATTGATTTTTAAAACACAATATTTAAATTAATTCATACAATCGTCAAACGACAACTTTCAAGAGTGCACAAAAGACTGTATACCTACTTTAATTTATTAACCTGAATTTGTACTCGAATAAATTTTTCCGTAATAATAACATAAAATGCATTACATATATTCGTACATGATCTCACGTGAATTGTTAAGACTTGTTATAAATATTTGCGAACACGAAAATATATTTTTTTAAAGGCCCGAAAATGAGAATTGTTCGACTGCCTTGAATTTGGCACGACCAAAAAGTATGCTAACTTAGTATCATAACAAGGGCAGAGGACTTATAACTCTAAAAAAAAAGCACTACATATACAAGTACTTATGCACTAAAAAACCATATGATATGCACTAAAAATATGCTTTTAAAAACCATCTATTTAAAAGTATACAAATCATTTGAATCTTGCTTGACATAAAATCGTTTTTCACATCCTACTTTAACGTCATAATACTGAAATTATAGGACTATATCGTCAGTAGAAAACACATTGACACCGAATTCCGATAAATAACTTTTAAACAGACTGTTAAAAGATTGATTATCTTTATTTTAATATTAAAACATTACACAAAGACGATGATTTGACACGAATTACGACTGTACGCACATTGGCAGACGACAGAACCAAGACTTAATGACTAAAATATTTAACTATTAACGAACAACGATTGACAAAAGTCAATGCAATGACATTTTTTGGCATCATTAACGTCCTATCGGAAATTTCATGATGCAAACAACGTGTTTACTGTTTATAAAAATATTTAATCTAATCGGCGATCCTCGAGAGGTATTTATAGGAAAAATATGTATTTGCGAACAGCCGACAACCATATTGTATGATCAACATTTGACATTATTTTTAATTCAGCAATGTTTATGTCGTATATTGGACAAAATAAAACGTCGACGGAAAAGTATTGATTATATGATAAATTATTTAAAATATGCATTTAAAAGTATAAAACGGAAGAATGATGCGCTAAAACCAATAAAAAAGAACTCGAAACGTACGTTTATACGCAAAATAAAATTGTAAGACTTGCTTTGCGAATGCATGAAACATTATTATTTTGTACTAGGCTATTTTTGTGGTTGTGCAAAACAAATATGAAAATGCTACAAGTCCCCAATACCAATCATAACCAATTAGCATGCACTGCCGACGGTATCCGCATGAACTCACATTTCAACCCGTTCAACTTTGATACCCCACGATTCGGTCGCTTCGTCCAACAACACTTGCATAGTTTTTGATATAGCATCTCGGTCGCTGAGGATCTCGTGCAACGGTCTAGTTCCCAAGACGTTCCTAAGCGTGGTTTGAGCCAGCAATCTGGTGGACTGATGAGCGTTGGCCACGTTTGCCACCGATATTGTAGCGTTGCACACCCGGTAGTAAACCACAGCGTCCACAGAAACTGTCACGCTGTCTTTAGTCAATATCTATGATGATTACGACGGAAAAAAATAGATTTTCAATTAGAAACAATACGGAAATAATTAACGAGCATCAAAAACGATTGCACCTTACGGGCTTAACAAATTCAAATTAATATCAAAACATGCACAAAATATATACCCGCGTTTGTATGCATTTATTCTGCTTGAAGGTGGTGGATTAACAAAGCAGTTAACTCGTATCAATAAATTAACATATTTCATATGACGGTAAACATATTTTTTATTTTATTGTTAAAATAAAACTTTATTCTATTATCATATTATCTATTATCTATTATCATATTTGTACTGTAGTATACTCATTTTTAGCATCATAAAAAATGCTTGGTTAAAGTTTCATAAATATTAAAGTAATGAAATTATTTTATAGCTTAAAATACTTGACGTTCGATTTACTCACGACTGAAGTGGCATTCATAAACGCTTTAAAATGCTAAAAGTGCTTACTTTAGCATTTGCTGCTTTTTCCCATGTCTATATAAGTTTTTTATATGAACAGTTGAATGACTTTGATTTTTAATATCTACTTTAGAATCGAAAAATCGAATAAAATCATTTAAATTTTCCGTACCCACCTAATACCATAAACGAACCTGTATAGAATATATACGAACTACATTTATTCGTTCGTGTTTTGCTCTAGGTCAAAAGGTGACCAAGTCATTATTATTTTTTATAAATATCCACACGGTATATACAACTAATATATAATTTGATATTTTTTGTATTCAATTAAATATTTGTTTTTCCTAGCTTTTTTTTTTTTGTGTTTAATTTAATCCAAAATACTCAAGCATTATTTTCACCATATTTAAAATCATTCGAAGAACAACCACAAATTTAATAACAAAAATAACCGTAACGCATTTTATACGGGTAATCGTGAGTTAAGCGAAGAACGTAAATTCAAAAAAAGGATTACGTCTTTAATGTTTAAAACATAGCAAATTATGTAGTTACGAAAATCCCGAACCAAATTTAACTAAATCTCGGACACAAAAGCGTTTGCTGAAAGTTTCCGTGCGATTAGGTATACTTATTATTGTAATACGCGCCCCTTCTCACCACGAACAGAAACAAATGTGACGCGTGATATCCTGAAAAGTAATTGGAATATTTCTGTGAAAAAAATTACACTGAACAATATTATACTAAATAGTACACAAGTATGTTTGTAAACATAATACATTGACCGTTACGATGATTATACACACGCCAATTGTCCGACCTGCCGTCAATTGTACGTAAATTGGATATTTTTCATGTTTTTCATTACGTTCTTGTAGGTATACTTCTCTTAGTTTGTTTGTACGCAAATGGTGTACGCGTTTCCGTTGTAATTAACATAGATCCCCGTTTGCCGTTTTTAAACACGCACACGCACGAGGATTGGTATGCTGTACACGTACGAATATCAATGACGTATGCAAATCTACAATAAATGTACTTTTTTTTTTGTATCACTGTTCGACCGAGACCTAACCGTAACGAGCCGCCCAATCAGAGCAGATAATTGATGCCCCATCGGCTACCGCTGCAGTGATGCCAAACGTTTTTCTTTAAACTGAAAATATTATGACTTTCCGAATCCTATTTGATTCAAGACCACCGAGAATCGAGAAAATTCAATATTCTTGTATTTATGGTAGTGCTCGCATGGATCACGGCAAACATATAGTATAATTTTGAATCTATACATATAAATATTTATATTGAAATGACGGAATACTCGAACGCAACTTTTCACCAATGACGAACGAAATTCACGTTGAAAATAAGTTCGTAACAGCTCTTATATAATATTTTATTTTTGTATTCCAAAGTTGTTTGTTTGTGGTGCGCAAATAAAAAATAACTACTAAAGGGTCAAATAAAAGGTGTTGTCTTCGTGTTTAATTTTAAAATTAAACTTTAACCGTACAAAAAAACATGTACAAATGTTGCACTGTGTATTACATATATACATAAATATAAATACCTCCTGCGGTGGCACATCGTAGGTGCGCGTTCTCAAGTCAACGCGTGCGTAATTGTCGATGCAGGGCAAAATGAAAAATATACCTGAGACAAGAAAAATACTCTTTGTAATAATTTTTCTTCTGATAAAATGCATTCGAGAGCGCAACCGCTCAGCGTTTACTTACCGGGCCCTTTCGCTCCACCTGACACCAAACGCCCCAAACGGAATATTACGGCCCTTTCGTACTCTTGAACCACCTGTGCATACAACGCGTGAGACATAAACAACAACAGTGAACACTGTCGTCCTTGAGGACGGGTAAAGCGGGAGGGATGCAGTGGCCACGGACACTGTTTACGGTTCGCAGTGCGGTGGGTCATTTGAAATACTAACTTTGAAACAGACGAACAATGAAAACGGAAACGTCACGACGACGAGCGCCCAAGCACATCCAATCAAAATTTTACCACATATGCCTGGATCGGTGGGCGCACTATCTTCGGCTGGAACAGAAAACGAAAAACAAACCCTGTGAATAGCGTACGGGGAAAAAAATGAAAAAAACGCAGATCAGTCGATGTCGACGGAATCGGTCGTGTGTGAAAATTGTTTGCGATGTCGTCACAATGAAATGATATCATCGATTTGCACGCGTTCAAGTCGCACTAACAAAATAAAATGTGTTTCGAGCTACAACGGTAAAAACCATAGAAATCGCAATACATTAATAATTGAATCGATTGTTCTAAGAACAGTTGAAAAATAATTTGCGTCCAATATTTAAACAATTCAAACGATTTTAAACGCTGTTGGAACAGGACCGCCATTTCGGGTGTGCAATCACTTGGGTTTCCAAACACTTAGTCAGAGGGTGCGGACAATATAAGAAGTCGATCGAAACATTTATTACTACTATTATATAACTATCAATTTTCGATCATTATAAAATGTACCTAGGTATAAATGCAATATTTTAAATTATCTCATTGGTTATTAACTGTTAATTTTATTCGTTATTATGTACGTATAGAATTTTTTTTTTTTTTTTGCTAATACTTACAATAGCAGGAACTCTGTTTTCGCATTATTATCTACTACCCCCTATGAATCATTAATACTTAATCTTATACAAATTTAAATCGTTAGAATAATTTCCCATACCACAAATCGTGTCGCTAAGTATAAAAGTTAAAAATATTTAAACAGAGCAATATTATCTCGAATTGTAGCCTCTACTTATTTTTTTTTTTTTTTTTTACAACTGACATATTAATCATTAATGTATAATGATTATATAGATTATATAATATTATAAATTATTATATATTATACATATGAACACTTGAATTTTTCACTATACTAAAAATAAACATGTTGTAGCTATTGTACTACTTTAATAGACATATAAAAGTGTCTTAAAAAATTATATGAGTAAAATAATTACGTAAAATAACACTAACATCGAGGAATTGTATTGCTATAGCATTAATTCCATCATTTTTATTGTACATTGCACAAACGTGATAAAATTATGAAATTTAATTAATTAAAAAAATAAAAAAGTAAATTCTAGGGTTCTATTATTGTATAGTTTATCATTCGTGTCAGCTGTATAATTGTACTGTCATCGTCTAAACATATAGTTTTATGTTTTAATAGATAAAAAAAGCAATATAATATTATACCTTTTGCGGCTTTAATATAAAATTAATTTAAAAAATAATGTATGTAATACTTCGATGATTATTGTGATTAGGTACCACGTACACCAATGTTTAACCGTAGTATAACCATCTAGGTACTATTTCTTTACACAAATTAACGAGTTTTTAATATGTTTTATTTTTGTTATCAACACATCGAAAAATATCACAAATCAATAACAAAATGCAAACTCGATAATATTTTTGACATGACGTAGATAGAATTTATTTCCAAAGTTAATGGGGTATTAATCTAAAATGTGTTTCAAGTTAAAATGCTATTATTTTAGCATGAATATAAAAAAATTGCGACATACCCCGAATTATGTTAGATAATTATGAAAATAACTATCGAACTTATTGATTCAAAAAAATGTGTATAATTTATGGGTCCAACTGTTCCTTTACCAACTCAACCAATACTGACACGTTCAAATTTTCGATAGAAGTTTCAGTATACTGTTGAGAATATTTTCAATGGATTTAAAGTAAACAATGACATAGGTAGGCATCAAAAAATCGAAACATTTAATGGTAATCAAAGAAATGTAATCAAATTTAATATTTATAAAAGCCAATCATTGAACTATACCAAGCTGTATAACTTCTAAAGTTATATCGTTAATTGAGACAATTGGTGTCTCTAAACGTAAATGATTCCAAAACTAGTATTTCAAATAATACATAAAATTATGATAAAGCAATAAAAATAAATTTAGAAAATATCTTAGAAAAGAATTGTGGATATATCATAATGGAAACAATTTCAAACATTTTAGAAGGCAAATAAACTTATCTAACAAACATAACGAAGAATTAACACCAAACGAAATTTGCCACTTCAAATATACTCCTCAGTCAATACCATGGTCGCCAATCACAAGTCAACATTTTTTTCAATAAAATTATGAATTATCTAATATTTTATTAGGCATTTTTGTATGGTTTTTAATGCATTTAAATCCGAGCCCTAATTATAATTATTACATTACATTATTATATTTTAGGATATATATTAGACCTATTACATATCATTATTTTCATGAATTTCGTACAGATAAGTTTTTCTTTTTAACGAAATATCTATTTTTTTTTCTTTTATTTTTTAACCGTCAAGTTAATGATATAGACGTTGAACTGTAAACTAATATATTCGCTGGGTAAATTATGACAATTTTTTTTAAACGTTTTATTGTGTCGTTGCTAAAGAAGTAGTACCTCCTACGTAGCTATTGCGTATCATATACTTTTATTGATTATCTTCTCGTTCGACGGCGCCCGACGCCCGGCGCCACAAATGGTTGAGATGTTCTTATAGACTATTATTTGTTCGTATCATTTTATCCACGAACACGATGGACGATATAATACTAAATTACAGCATAGTTCGTTCCGTGTCGTTTTAAAGGTCAGTACGAATTTTCCGTCGGCATGTAATTTAACCCTTTTTTAATTACGTTAATTTGATCTATTTCGCGACCGAGCATGCTCGTAATCATTAGAGTTCGGATAAAATTGCATTTTTTTTTCTATTGATCCAATTTAAATCGAACTTGGATACAAATTTTATTCATGTTCTACTGAATCAGAAACGTAATAGTATTTTTGTTTCGCATATTTTTGCATATTTTATATGTATATTCTAGTATATTTTCGAAATTTTTTAAAAACAATTGAAATTAAAAGGTAGAATAAATAAATATAAATGATAGACTATCATTTATACACTATCATAATTGTGTTTGTTCCAAATATTTTTAAATTCAAGTTTGATAAAATTAAAAAAAACCATTGTATGGCATTGCTCATATTGTAAATTAGTATATACCTACAAGTATAATAATATAATAATATTAATGTTCGAATATAATTATAATATTAAAAAAATTTAAAATACAGAAATAACTTATAAAAATTAAATACATACTAACAAATTATAATTAACTTTTAATTTTTAATATTAAAGATAAAATTGATTTTATTCTGCATTACCTTGGAGTTTCTTTTTAGCTAAAATGCATATTTTATTTTTTTTTTTAACATATTTGGTAATTTTTTAGTGGATAAATGCAAACATTTTACAGTCATTTAAAGTACATGAAAATTTAACAATACAAACACCGTGTTACGCAGCCGTTTCTGTTGCACGGCGCAGCAGTAAGTAAACTGCGTTCATATGTTCATCACTTAATCGTGTACAATATTCATATTTTCGAAACTAAAGTATTGTTTAATTTAAGTATTAAAAACATGAGATAAACTATGCGTAAAAGTATAATAGTCACGTTTTATTTTATTTATTAGTATTTAAGATATAAAATTAAAATTTTAAACACCATGATAAATATTTGGAAGGCCACAGAAAAAAGTTCTGCGGGTTGTCGTTGCTTGCTGTACTTGAGTAACAATATAGAAGTACATGCCGTACAAATAATACTTAAAGTTAATATGGGATTTGGAACGGTTGAAGGAAATGGGAGCATAGTGAACATGTTTGGATGTGAGCACCACATTGTACATTTATCTGAATCATGTTGTAGGAAAACTATATCATCAGTTGAATAGATGGGCATGTATATTTGCATATCATCCGCAACAAATATAAATTTAAAGGAGTTGAGTTGAATATAATACATATAAATAATAATGCGCTACAATTTGACTGTGTTTCGTCTTAATGGAATTAAACTACCCAAAACACTTGATCTAAAAACGTGTGTTTTCTTAAGTTTTAATCTAAATGTTGTACTCGTATACTTTTAATATGTACATCTACAATAAGTTCACAAGCATGTGTGTTTACATAGAATTAGAAATTTCAACTTACTCGAAATTTTCTACTTTGTTTTAGCGCCATATTTTATCGTGAGCAAAATCAACTACATCAAGTCTAATGCATGTACGTAAACCACGGATTCATTTATTATTTTTATCCTTTTTACACCTAATCCTAATATACAAATAGTGTATCCTATATAGTAGTGCATCATAAAGCTTTTCATTGTAATTTCGATATGGAAATTTGTCTACGCTCACGACGATATTAAGCATTTTATGTGTACGTTATACATATTACATAAATAACCATAATATTACCATTCAGGCATGTCACTTTGTCAGCTACGTCTCAGTGCAAATGAGCTTATAGATATCGATTAGACTATATTACCTATACCGATGAACGTTATTGAAAATCAATTGGGCATCTCGAGTATTCGCGCTAATGATGGTGATTTTTTAAACAATCGGACTCATAATAGTTAACAAGAGAAGATCAATACCTACGACTAAAGCACTTCGCAAAAATTCATTAGCTTCTACACCACATAAAGAATTTTGTGTTCACAAAAATCAATACATTAATTAATCACGTTTACCCTGAAATATATATGTCACGGTACATTGCGTGTATTCTATTCGAAAACAAATACATTTTAATTTTTAATTTGGCTAGAACGAGAAATTATTTATCAATTAATATTATTTCAAACGAATTTTGGAACAAAAACATTTAGTAAATCGTATAAATTTTAACGTCACTTATCCACAAATCTTATGAATACAACATTTCTAGCTTTTGAATGAAAATAATAAAATTCAGAACGTTTTACAATTAATTTATTCGAAATTAACTTAAAATATAAGTTCATTGTGTTCTTAATTATATTAGGCCAATAGCAATACAAATAAGTACAAAAAATGTCAAATTTATGCCGTATAAACTCTACGTAAAAGCTTTGGCGCTTATGAAAGCGATGTCAACAAAAACTTTAACCAAGCGAAACGTATCAATTTCGATATTTATTTCTTTTGAACTACTGAAGACGGTTCATTTGACTAGATTTGTTGGCGTATTTCATTTCAAACATTGGCGCAAATCAATAATTTGACGTTTTAATAATGGTAACGAATTATGACAATTAACACTCGAGCGAGCATAGTTGTGGCAGACATTTATTGCTTAATGACCGCTCTTAGGAATTCTCATTTTCATGTACGACCAACCGATATCTGGCTACTTTTCCATTTCTGGTACTCTGCATTTATTTATAACACTTACAACCATTTCTAAATTTAAAACGCGTAAGTTCTTAGAAAATTGCATTTGCAGTGCCCATCAATGTTCAGATTTTAACTTCACTTTGGTTTTCATTCGTTAAAAAACTCATCATAAAATTTCAGTATCATTTTTACAACCACCCGCTTCAATAATTATATTATGTGTTCATTACAACCGCGTCCTGCCGCTTTCAACCTAACGCTGAAAACCTTTCGTTGTATTCTCTTACGTGTATAACGGTAAATTTACTGCTGCGAGCCGCGTGCACAACAGTTAACCACCGCGGTCAGTAAAAAATGTCATTTATTTTTTCATAATAAAATGAACATACTTTTTATTTTACACAATTAAATCTAAAAAAAGAAATTGCTTTATCGTTTTTTTAGTCGTAAAAACTTGACGCGTCGACATATTATGTCAGTCAGTAGCAAGGTCGTAAACGTGAGGTCGGTGATTATACGAGTACATAGTGTGTTTACTACATGAACATGGTTATGGATTCCCGTATATTTTTTTTCTTCGATTTTTCACGCGATGAGATTCATAGCAGTTAATAAAAACTAAGACCGTTTATTAATCATAGACCAGGAGACAAAGTTTATTCGTTATCGCCAATAGTTTTTCAAATCGGAACACGCAGCTATAGCTGAAAACGAGCTAACACGTTTTCTTGATACGTATATTATTATTTGTTTTATAAGGCGCGTAGCCAAAGGGGGAGGTGTCATGGGCATAGAACCACCCCCACCCCCAGATCGTGTTATACTTAAGTCTTATAAAAATTCATCGTGAACCGTGGTGAACTCATATTTATCATTTCGAAATATATATTACGCGATAGCAATAATGTGCTTGTATGATTGTACAATAAAGTTTACGTAAATCTATTAATTTGATGTGTATTATTTTGAATAACCAATCTCTTATGAAATTCCTAGCTACGCGCCTGTATTACATACTTGTGTTCGATGAGCTTTTCGATCAATACGACTTCGGACAGTGCGAGGGTGTCTATTTTTTTCCTGATTACTGGATATATACTACATCGATTATGTCAAATGTGTACATGTATTATTTGTAATGTGTTACGTATTTTTTTTTTTTATCTATTTTTTATATACAGCTATTGCTTAGCGCATATGTTTGACATTCCCACTTTGTATTAATTTTTTATCTATACAATCAAACGGTTGCCCAGAACCAATAGATCTAATCGAACCAACAACATTTCGACGAAATCTTTTAAAAAAAACGGTTTTAAATGAGTTGCGATCGGCGAATACGTTCGTTATAATTATATTTAACTGCTACATTGTTATATATTACTCTACACGTCTTATGAACTCGATTTTTAACTGAACAAACAAATCGTTATCGGCTATTTTGCTATATTGTTCGTTTCCATGTAGATTGAATCGATTATAAATCGAATATCACTTCGACCCCAAACATATTCCAGGTAACTGGATTGGGAGGACTTATTTTTTCCATGTGAAGCATTCTCAGTTGGTGCCTATCCTACCCTTATGCCATTAATTAGGGTTTATACGCAATCAATTTCAAACATTGTTCAACATTTGATATACAAGTAGAACATTTATAATTTTTTTTCTTATATTTTTCTTAATTTTTTTTTATAATTTTAATTTATAATCTTTTAAATTGCATATTTTCGTCACACATATGTGTATTTAAACTTCTACCGCACGTCTTCGTATGCACTAACGAATATTAATTAGTAATGTAACAACCAAGGCCGTATTAGAAGGAAGGTTCAGTTGGTCAAGACCCCTTCCGCAAAATACCTTTAAAAATGTTTGGCGTTTTGTATTGAAAAATCTATTTAGGTTAAAACAATAGACCCGTGTGGATTACTATTTTTAGTCTAATATTTCAAATATTTCATCATCATACAATTCAGTGTAACGGTACTATTCTTACTTAGTTATCAATAAAAATCATAACGTTCTTTTGTCTCTATTTTTATGCTTTAATCCCCGTATTCCTTACTGCTTCTAAAGAAATCTTCCACATTCCCTCTCATCACCACCCAGGGGCGAATCTAGAGAGGGAGTTCAGGGGGTCAGCTGACCCACAGTTAATATTTGTTGACAAAATTGGCCTCTTGGACAGTTGGCCCATCGGAGTTACTTGAAAAATGAATGCCATGTATATTCAAAATTTAAAATTTTTCAATTCATAATTTATATTTTAAATTATATCGTTTTAGTAGAAAGTTAAGTAAATCATATTTTATTTTATACGTTTGTTGTGCTGATAAAATTAGATTTTATTTATTAATCGTAAATAAGTCATTATCGGTGGTATCAATAATTCTAAAATGTAATATAAATATACTTATAAACTGTTAGGAGCATTTTGTGTTTTTTTTTTTATAAGGTATTCATTTCTAATTCAGTTTCATCCCTAATAAATGGACTCTTGAAATGGTTTGACCCACAGTTCCCCGACTTTGGATGCGCCCCTGCCTCCACCTCTTGCGGACAAAATAAACGTGTGTATAATATTAAGATAAGCAATCTAAGCAGTAACGGTGCTAGAGTTTATGAGACCCTGGGCAAAATAAATTTTGAATCTTATAATTTCTATTAATAAAATATTTTAAGTTCTGTTAAATCAGAACCGCGGGGCCTTAATTATAATTTAATGCGTGGGGCCCTGGGCAACTGCCCCTATTTTTCTCCCCTCGCGCCGTCCTTGAACCTAAGTAAAGTTGTCTTATGATAACGTTGTTGTTATGATTACTGTTTTTCTTCCCGTAATGTTTTTGACTCTATAAATCAGTCAATGATAATATTTATTTATTTCATACGCATTAAACATCAATCAAATTTACTAAATCTAATCTTATAAATCATACATTTACCGTAAATGTATTTTCGTTTATCTCTTTGCGAAAACTGTAATATTTTTTATGTACTACAATAATTGCTATCAGGTTTGAAAAAAAATAAACGAAAACAATGAAACCTATATGTACGATTTTTATTATATTTTTTTTCGTCTCGAAGCTCGGAATTTCGTACCATGAATTGCTGATTGCCGCGGTGTTTACACTAGATTAACAGGGTTGGATACGCACCATGTCGAATTATAGTACGCGTTTTTTATTACTCCGTTAAAAAACGTTCCGTTTTCGGCGAAAAATAGAATTGATCTTGTAGACGTGATACCATGAAACCGTAGTACCAATATTCTAATCGTCTGTTAATCAATTAATTCGTGAAAAAGCCAACTTATTATTACTGATTGTTTATCGATCGATTCGTGTTCCGGCACGTGGCTCTCGATCTCTAGACTATGTGCACATATTAAATATAATCCGTTAAAAAAATTAACTTATTCCACGAGTGATAATATTCCGGATATCGCTTTGAACGCGATTAAATTTTTATCGGACATTTTCAAACCGAACTATTCTGTTTGTCGGATGTAACTATACGCCAAATACATAATACTATCAATATTTAAACGTATAAAACTGTACATCGTGCACCCGATCTGATATACTATATTATATCCAATCGAGTACACGCGTGATTGTACAACCCGTTGAGCCCTAGGGCCAACGCTCGTGTCAGTTTGCATCGAGCCGTGCACTAACGCGGAACGCGACTGACCTCCGATTATACGATGTCTCTGGTCCATGGTAGGCCTGGACGTGTCCACGTGATTGGCCAAGTCGATGACTTCGGTCGAATCAGCGTTGTGCATGTTTCCACGGAGCCAAACGATGGTGACGGTGACGAGCGCGACGACGAAAGCGTTCGCGCCCTGCGAGCCGATCGTACTACTCGTAACCAAACGGTGGGGCTCACGCGCAGTGTTGCCAAGCCCGGTGACCGTACGTAATGCCGCTCTGGCACCGGAAACACTTGTGCCTCACGAGCAACGTTCCTTCCGCGGCGGCTGGCTCGATGGGACTCAGCGCCACCACAGCGACCCTTGGCGCCACGACAACATGCGGCGGCGGCGGCGGCGGCTCGTGGAACGTGATCGACGGAGAATAATTGATCCGAAACGCGGACGTATAATTCGCAATGACGACGCGGAAATAATATCTACATGAGGGATTTCCGTGTATTTAAAAAACGGACGAACGTATAACGTATACGACCCGAAACGCCCACCACCCACTCGTGGTTTTTTCGCCCTTTCTCGTCCTGCGGTTATCAATAACGACTAAAATATTTACCGTTTACGGTCACCCGAGTGGATAGAAATTATAGCGAAACTTAAAGGACGAAATGACCCGGTCCCGGCAAAAATATTTGTGTATTTTGATCGGTCTATAATGGACAAAAATATTTCACCCACGTGATTTGATAACGGACAAAAATCGTAGTTCAAATCCAAACGCTATATCGTATGAATGATTACTCCTAACGTTCGTCCTGAAATAAATCCCGTGGAAGTCGATTATAAGGAACAAGTTGAAGATTGACAAAAAAATTCTAAAATTAAGGCATTTGAAAATCATTCAAAAGCTCTTGAACAGTTTATTCGTCTGAAAGTGTTTTATTTGAATAAAGGTGATGAAAAACGGTTTTCGCACGTGAGGCGAATTAAATACTCATCACGAGCTAGAAATGATTAAATTAAAGTTCGAAAAACAAACATCCATACTGTAATTGTTTAAGAAACATTGAAATTGAATTCATAATGTATAACCTAACCGTAGTAACAAAAAAATAATAGTACAATAATAATATTATAATTACATCGTAGTAGAATAATACTATAATAATACGATAAACATACAAAATTGTAATTTTCCAGTAAACAGATACGTTTGTAGATCAGTTTGACTATTGAAACGCTAAAGCCTCCCTATAACGGACAATTATTTTGGTCCCACGACTGTCTGTTATACACAGGTTTCACTGCAGTATGTTCTAGTATCACCGCAGCCACCCGCCGCTGTAGCGTGAAACGATCGGGTGACGCAAAGTAAATTAAATGGAAAAAGAAAATCATCGGTTATGTGTGCGTGTGGTGGGTGGTGTAGGCGGGGGTGTCTGTCGTGGCGTCAGAACATACCACTTCTATCTACTCACGTGGTCCGTAGAGTGCTATGATTTATCGAATCGTAAAATACGAATTCCGACACAGGGTGTGTTGAAACATAACAAATACCCATACACACTTGATACTGAATATGAGTACACTCAGCTCTGAGAACGAACACAGCGAATTGTCAAGTATCTGTCTTGTCTACTCTTCAAAAGCTCAAGATCGGAAGAGTTAAGAGTTATAAGTTTTAATCGATATTATGTCTGACGACATCGGATATGTATTAAAATGTAATTCGCGGTAAATGCTCGGAAAAATAATCCGTTTTTTTTCGGAATTCGTAAGTTTAGGTCATCTTTTGAAATTTAAAATTTTCCAAAATTATATAGAATATATGAAAACACGTTTCATGTACAGCAGAAGAAAACTATTATCTCGCGAACGATTTCCGACGAGAATTAAACACAAATACCTTAAGAACACCCACCAAATACTCGTGTAAATGTACACATATATACATAATATACATATATACGTAATGATTTTACAGTCCGATTGACATTAATACAATAACTCTGTATAAACATAAACGTCACGTGTACATTTTACCCCGTACGTGTAGTGTCATGTGGATATAAATAATATGATATACAGATGTTATAGGTGACCATAACGAAAAATTTTACAAAAAGGAGGTCGTATATCGATTCGAAAAGTATATACTATACATCCTCGACCATGTTATTATCTTACAACCCGGGTAAACATATATTATTGTTTATAATATTCTTTCTTATTACGTCGAAGGCCAATACTCGTATAAAAGACTCGGGGGCATATAATAACATCGAATTAACATATAAGTAATAATTACCAGTGACGAAGCTACCTATGAGACCAAGAGACATTGTCTACCTAGTTTTTGATCGCATTTATAATATACCAGTGGTCTTCAACCGGTGGGTCGCGACCCAATTTTGGGTCGCGTAAGTTTCAAGATTAGACCACGATAAGTCTTCTGTTTAAAATTTAAAATATTCATATTCATATATATTACATTATGTATATCATATGACATTGGATAAAACATTTTTTGAATAAACCCGAATTCGTACTATTTTCTACTGTTTTATATATGTAGAATATTAGAATGAAGACTTTTCTCATATACTCATACTCAATTAAAAAAAATCCTCAACCAATATGCGACACATTCCCAGGCCCATATTTAAAAATTTGGCACCCCCGGGCATATAATTTATGCCCCCTCTCCCTTAATAAATAATAATAATAATATAACACTTATTATTTCGTCCATAATTGAGATTCTTTAATATTAAAATATAACTTATAAATGAAAACCTTTTAATACTTTTTTTAATTACCAATTAAACAAATTATATCATAATAAAACATACAATTTACTTTTTTTTATTGTTTTATTTTTTTTTTCATTTGGTACATAATTTTTAAAATTAATTTTGCTAAAATATTTTGCCGCCCCTGAGACTTGACGCCCCCGGGCATGTTCCTACCCCTGCCCCCCTCTTATACAGGCCTGCACATGCCACTAATCATTAACTATCAAACACGTAGTGGATGAGTGTACACAATATACCTCAATACCCACCGATCTAAACATGCATAGTAAATAAAAACATGCATAGTAACAAACATAGTAAAAGTACTTAGCGAAAGCCAAGCCCTGAAAATATTATCACATTCTTAAGTATCATAAACATTATTAGTAAATCTTAATTTTACACCTAACTTCATATGTTATATGTTATATGTTATGTTATATACAATGGCGCACAGACAATTTTTGACAAGGGTGACGAAAATATATATTTCGAGGTACCCACCCACCCCCACCAGTAAAATCTAAGTTTATGAATAGTATAGCTCTTATTTTTGGTTTTTTCTTACTAACAGATACTAACAAAAAAATTTTTTTTAAATAAACCTAATATTACTTATTTTTCAATTTTCTGGATATTAATTTATAAGTTTATATAGCATAATTTTTGAGATTGAGCCCTACTACTTATTCTCATGTGACGCTTTAGTTTTAAAGTAAACATAATTAATATGTTAATTTGGATAGCTGAAAAAATGGTTAACATTAAATTAAACAAATATTCATACAAGTTCACACAGAACTAGCCATCCACCAATTCTCTAAGGGGTGTCAGTCGACACCCCTGACCCTCCCTGTGTGCGCCACTGGTTATATGTAATTATATAATTTTAAATCTAACATCTAACACATGAAATATGTAACATATATTAGCTAATAACATTTGTTGTTGAAGCCTCAATTTTCAAAAAAAAAAAATAGAATAAACAATCAAATGAAGTAATCGTATAGTAATAACTCGACTTAATCCATAAAATTAATTTACATTTCATACATCTATAAACTGAATTGTATGAAATTAAGCCGAGGTGGAGGTATTTTGTGTGAAAACAGTCCGTGACAAATATCACACTAATTTTTTTTTTGTGTATTATAACATATACTTACTTTTACGGTATCACTACATACATGTATCATTATTTAAATAAAAATTAAATATTACCTAGATACCTAGAAAAATATACATATTAATTTATTCAGTTATATAAGCACTACTAAAAAATGTTATTAAATGTTATTTTTAAGCAGGTAATATTTATGCATTACCTTGGAACTTATAAATAACATATAGTGTCGTATACATAGGCGAAAATAGGAGAAGGAGCTTAGAGCTTCTGGGGTTACTATAGCTTCCCTCAAAAACCAATGATTTCACTTCATGTTTTTTTATGATATAAAAGCATCCAGTATAGACTTAAGCTTCATTTCCCTCTCCGAATCTCAAACACTTGCACATATTGTAGTATAGTTATGTAAACGAAAATAGTTTGACTTAAAAATTTGTAAACAATAATCGATTACTTAACACCGAATCCTTTGTGTTAGACATTGGACATGGATATTAAGCGCTCATGCAGCTGTTCTCTACGTCATGGTAGTTATTAAAAAAATGTTACTTGCAAATACGCAATCGCCATAATATTTCACAGTTGTTATCAATGAACGCACTTAAAACGTTACACAATACTATTGGTTATCTATAATACCACACGATCAAGATTACATAAAACATACGAATCAATAATTGCATTCAGTAAAAACAAATTCCTCAATACACCATGCCCATATTGATAAACATTGAATATAGCTTCAATATCATTATTTACATTTGGGTTTATTTCCATAGATATAACTGGAACTTACGTTTTTGGAGGCTAAAAAGTATCAATGCAATTTATACCTGTATTTACTTATTTCATTTAAGTTAAAAATAATAGGTCCATGCGATATTACAGGCTTGCATTCAAGACTCAAGACAATACACGTACGTAGGTGTATTATAATCAAGGGTAATCTTAAACATAATGCATATACAAAGGAATGTTTTAGATAGTGCATTTTACTTAAAACATTATAATAGGAATAACCACATTTAATTTACGTTAGCAGTTGAATATAAGGCATTAATAACCAATATGATAGGCGTAGTCACATATAAGAAATACTAAACTAATGCATATAATAATGAATGCATGTAAATCATGTATAAGATAGTATCACATAGTAAATATATTAGAATGTAACAAATATTTATATGTAACAACCCGAAAATGAGCACATAATGATGATTAGAGAAAAGTCAAATCCCGGACTAACAGGAAACTCCTTATATTTGAAAATAACTTATCGTTGACCACATCCTATGTAGAATAGTCATTAAAAAAGAACAATAAGAAGTTCACACGAGATCTGGCTTTAAAAGGGGTTCTCGAATAGACCCATTTTCAGATGTGTTTTAATTTGGTAAATGCAACTTCACGCCGCTTAACTTAATAAACATTTAATTTGGCCTTAGAATTATTTCACAAGTATTTAATTTGTATTTAAAATTATTTTATGAACTTATATTATTTGAACTTAGAGATTATCATAATAAAATAAATATTTTAAAGTCAAGAGTTCTTTTATTCATCACTATCGATAATTTAATTGATTGAGAATCTGTACGATTGTCTGTATTGTCTGTATTCTTCTCCCGTTGCAATAGTCTGTACACTCAGACAGGCACGCAACAGCGATTACAATGAATTATTTAGAAATAATTAGACTATTGGCGATAGAAAGTGATAATCTTTAAAGGGCACGTTATGCATTATTTGTCATAATAATGTTATTTTTCCAGTCGCATGTTACACATCCACCCTCCGCCGACCAATACATTAATAAGTTGTTTATCGCCAATATAGGCAGTGTATCTATATCTATAAATTAGCTATTTTTGTTTTTATTTATTGTAGAGATTAAAATCTATTTTGGTAAATCCATGGTAATATTCCGATACCGCGACTGTGCTATTAATAAAAACATGTTTACAACTTACGTCTTACATTATAAATTCTACTAATCATTCTATATTTGTGAATTATAGTTATTATTACTAATTTTTTTTATATATTATTAAAATATACTGATTGTATTGTCATATTACACTCAATACTCAATACTTAATGAGCTATAAGACAACACGAGAGAGCACAATACTGGTTTTAAAAATAATAATAATAAATTATCTAAAATTTAAATGTATTGTAAATAATACAATTACTTAGATTTAAAAGTTAAAATGTAGAATAAGTAATACGAAAATGTAAAATACAATAGTAATTAATAATTATGGTTGATTTAATTTGTAGGTAGGTACAATGTACATGATAAAAAGTATTGAGTTCGAGTTCGACTTAAAATCATAATAGGTTCGGTTCAGTTCGAGTTCGAAAAAATAATTTAAAATTCGGTTCAAGTGCTGTTCGATTTAGAAAATCAGTGTTCGACCCATCACTACTATATGCGTATCTTAATTAAACATAACCAAAGTTATGACGTTACGAAGTTATTTGATCACAATGGAATCAATAACCGATAGAAACAGTGTGAATTGTCATTTGTAAAACGACTACGGCAAAGTAGTATAGTTAGTAATTAGGATTCAATTTACCAACTACCTTTTTTTCCCCGGGACCCAAGTTACCTAATTTTTTTTCCCCGGAACTCAATTTACTGCTTTCAAAATATACACAAAATATCGCGGACTCAATTTACCTAGCCCCTTAAGAACATAGAAATTGAAAGATTATTAATAAATTGGAATACCTGTCTTCTAAAATTCACTTTATATTGGACAAGTGAAGGTGTGTTTAGATTTCTTATGAAATGTGGCCAATGTTCGATTTCAATTCAATTCAAGTAGATCTAATCAACCACATTGCAGTATGTACAAAATTAGTCCAAATAGGTAATGCAGCAATTGTTTGAATTAGAAATTATTTAAAAAAAGCAAACAATAAAATCAAAACTGTTTTATTTCAAATTGCATCATAAATCTATTAAACAAAAAATCTTAAAAATTATAACAACTTTTATTGAATAAACATAAATTAAAACACCTGAATTATCAATTATATCAATTAAAAAATGTATTAGGTATCCAAAACATATTTTAAGGAATGAGTTTTAAATAAAAGTATACATGGTTAAAATAAAGCAAAATTTATAAATTACATAATAACTAATGTGATATCATTCTTTAAATTCTTTAGTAAGTATATATAGAAACTTAAAACATTTTCTTTCGGAGTTGAAAAAGTTCACTTTAAAAGTACGTTTCTTAGTATTATCTTTGAACTGTAATTAATATACTACCAAATTCATTCAAATAACAAATAATTATCTATTGGTGGTATGACAAGTTGGCCCCAATATCCCAATACAAATTTCAGGCAACAAAATAAAAATAAATAAAACAGATAAGACATAAATAATAGTTAAGTAGCTACTTAAACAATAATTACTGTGATAATTGAGCAACAAATGATAACTGGTATTATTTTGACACGCTATGTTCTACATTTTGGCACCAATTAAATTTAAAAAAAATCTAATTTATAATTATTTTAAATTATAATTAACAATTTTTGGTATTTGATTAACTAATTACAATTATTAAAATTATTTGGATTCTTAGTACATATATAACATACATGGTTAGTTTGAAAATGAAATGATTAACTTAAAATTACAATTTAAAAATACAATTGCATTTTTATTTTTTTTTTTAATAAATGTTTTACCAGTAACATAGATTTTAATAACTATAGATATCATATTAATTAAAGAATAACTATTTGCAACAGCATTCTCGTTTTTAATACAAAAAATTATTAGGAATTTAAAATGATAAAAAAAAATATTTAAAGAAAATGTTAAAATATCTTTTAAGAAAATAATATTTTTATTTAACGTGTAAAATATCCCAAGATGTAAAAACTCAAAGCTTGACAATCTACATGTACCAATTTAAATTAAGTAATACATATTATTTTTACATTCAACATTTAATATAATAGATACTACCAAGTCAATCCTTAAATTTCTGAGCAAGTCTATCAAAAAATCTTTTGATAAAAAAAAATTGTATATAATTTATTAAGAAACATTAAACAATTTAAAAAATATTCTATTTCCAGGAACCTCAACAGTGACCTGCTGCACAATGAGGATATGGCGTATATCACAGTAAGTGAATATCACTTTATAAGGATAAAACTCAGCTAAACTGATATATATCTGACAAATCACTGCAGGGGTTTTTTACACTTGAAATAGAACACAGATAAGTAAACCATGAGATCTTTTGATATCCACCACAAACATTAAAGTATAATTATGCTACATTTTAAAATGAATACTCATATTAGGAACAAGTACACAATAAAAAAAACAAAGGTTTAAACCAATTGAAAAAAAATATTTGTGAAATAAAGAAGAAATTATTGTAATATCTTAATTCATGATTTATGTTTATATATTTGTTAGCATATGTCATATTTCTAAGTTATTTAATCAAAATGTACACATGAAAATACAAATTAACAATTTTTGAACACACCTGTACATTAATCTGTATAGAAAAATGCAATAAAATAAATCTTGTGACCCACAAAAATTCCAAATATATATCAAATTGAAAAAAACTGATTCTAGCCAATAAACCCATTTAATCTGTAATTATGGATGGTACATTTTAATTTAATTAATTCCTTGTGTTAAATTAAGTTCCCAAATAAGAAAATTCTACAATATTTTTAATTAACAATTGAAGCAAAATAAAAAAACTTGCAAAAATAAAATAATATTTATACTTATTTATTACTTAACATTTTTTTTAAAAATAGTGGAACTTTCAACTGTAAAATTTGAATGCAATAAATCAGTTTTCAATCCTTGACTTTTAAACTGTTAAAAATTATATTTCATATACAGTAAAATGAAATTTATATTTTTGATACAAATAAATATCTAAAATAACTTCAAATAAAATTAAGAATGCTTTTAAGAAAGATAAATAATTAACTATAGAATAAAACATTCTTAATCTTAAGAAGTTCAACAAAGGGCAGTATAAAAGACTCTTAGTTTATTAATTTAAACATTCAAAGAATAAATACATTTATAAAAAAAAAAAAGTCAATATTTAATATTCCTACTGTTGTAAACATTTTATTATTTTTTTATTGCATAATTTAAAATGTATCAAAAATATTTTCACTATAAAAACAATTGTTAGTAAAAAAAAAAATGAAAATGTTTCAAATAAAATAATAAAAAAATAAAAACAAATCATGATAATAGACAACTTGAACTTGAAATGCAAACAAATTTGATAATCAAAATATTGAATTTAATTTTTATTTAATTCTTATAACTGAAAAAAAATTAACACTAAAACAATTACCTACATAACACATTTTTTAGTTAATTAAATTATAAAAATGATAAATATTTAAATATTTCAAGGTATTTAAAAACTTAATACATCTGGAACAAAATACCAATTAAGATATTTAAGTACTCAACATTTAGAATGAGTACTTAAGAAAATTAATCAAATTAAGCACCCAGTCTCAATATTTTTTTTATATTATATTTAATATTTTACGAGTATTTTATTTTTATTATATTTAATATATTTTTTTATTTTTATTTTAATTATAAAGCAGAAATCTTTTCTGTATATGTGGATTAAAATATTCAAATTAGAAGATACACTGAGGCAATTACAAGGGCTGAAATACAATTGTTGAGGGGCTTCTAAAAAGCGCTATAAAAATGTTATACTATTTTTAACTTTTAGGGAAATCACTATTTATAATTATTAATCAAATATTATAAACATTAAAAATTACTGAAGCAAATGTATTTTAATAATAATTACAATTTTCAGTAACAAATAATTATTTCTGAAAATGTCTTATTGCAGAGGCTAAATGCTGTAAATGGTATTTCGGCAACAATGAAAAGAAAGGTATTTGATGGACATTATGATTAAAACTATACAGATTTGCTTGGTCTAGGCTCTAAGGGAGCTCTTAATATCAATGTCTATCTAAGGAACCCAATAAAAATAATGCTGAAAATAATTATACTAAAGAAAATATACTTCATACTTATACAGTTATATCACTTGAACTTTTTATACTAAACATCTCTTACGGATTATTTGTGGCGCTTGAGACTATAATATAATCATTTAACTTAATATCTAAAATATAATTACATCATTATTTAATTATACATGTACATTTCTTTTATAACATTCATTTTTAATATCAGCCTTATTTAAAATACTAACTTCACAAACAAAAAATAATAATAATAACAAATAACGTTGTTACAGGCTACTTATCACAATTCAGTATTCAATTTTCTAAATATTTAACATATATTACTTAGATTAACTGTCCAATTGATACCAACATTTACGTCAGGCCCAAGATTGAAGGTGAAACAACCATATTTTTATCATCTGGTTGAGTAACAATACTCCAAAATTTTCTCATTGACTCGTCTTCATTAGTTAATAAACAAAATGTAAACTTATGACTAATATTTTTATCGTTCAATAAATTATATTCTTCTACTACTAACTCTCCCAAATTAGTAGGTGTGATGTTCTGTTTAACAGCAATTGTACCAGTTATATGAACATCATCGATCCAAAAATATGGGGTTACTTGTGCTTCTGTATATAATTTGTAAATGACATCTGGTGAATAAATTATTGCCCATCCATAACAATATGTGGGATACCATCGATTTGGATATTCTGAATATGAAACCCTCCATCTTGATCGGAATGAACGTTTCACTACACTTGACAGAGAGAGTTGGCACATGAGTAAATTACGTGCTCCTAAAGGTGATAATCTATGATTGAGTATTTCCAATAAATATGGTGCATTAACAAATGTATCATCATCAGTTTTGAGCAAATACCTGGCACAACGACAATAGTATAAAGTCCATTTTAGTACCATCACATGTTTATAAGTTAAATTACGGTAACAATCCATAAAGTCACCTTGTACAATATCATTGTACATTTGATTTTCTAAAATAACTTGGTTTTGAGTAACATTTGAATCTGGGAGACCCATGAAAAAATAAGTTGGTATCATTTTTGCCCATGTATCTCTTATAGCCTGACGTTTTACATGATGACTTGGTGCAGTATGAACTAAAGCCACTATCAAATGTGAGGTACTGTTGCATACCTCTTTGTTTATTTTGAAATTGAATGATGGCAAATCTATCAGGGAATGAAGATCGGCATTGGATAAAGTATGTACCTCGAATGGTTTTGAAGTAACATTTTCTGTTGTGAGAATACGATAATATTCGACATGGCCTGTATGTGATTCGTTGACACTGACAATTTTGCTCCATACTGACCAAAGTGAAAATGTGATTAATGTGAGGCCGCCAAGCGATATAATTAAAGAATATAATCGTCCAATCATGGCATTTCTCCTAATTGTTAACTGTTCTGAAACATAAATATATATCATTAATATAGTGATTAAAATCTTTACAAAAATTTAAAAAATTCAAATCTTATTAATAAAACTTTTTAATACAGATAAATAAATACAATTTCAAAACAATAACTAAAATGAAATAAAATCAACTAAAACATAGTAATAAATGAATATAAAATTATAAAATAAATAGTTTGAAATTATGTGACTGAAAATGTAATAAATAAAAATAAGATATTAATAGATAAACTCATACTTTTTTTAAATAAATAAATAATTTTTGTCATAATCATTAATAATAAAGTATTGTAAAATTGTTACGTTATATGCTTTCTTCCATTTATTTTAAGAAAACTAAATTTTATTAAAACGTTGTCAGTTTACGCACAAGCCATCACGAAAATGAAAAATAATGTTACCAACTTGTTACTGATATTTAAGTTAATTATTTAATTAAATAATTAAAATTTTTGTCATGTATCAATTTTCTTCGTCAACTCATAAATTACTGTTATCTTACGACAATACAAGTTAGTTTGCCATACATCACGGTCCAACAAAACCAGTATTATATAGTCATTAACAATTTAAAATTTTGTCTACAGAGTAAATCAAAACAAACTTCCTCTTTATTTACTAAAACGATTTAAAATGACAGTTTCATTCAACAGGATATACATTTTTCACATCTCTATCACCAAATATACTTAATCACTAAAAATAAAAATACAACATAGAAACTAAACTGAGGTATCAGAAGATTTAAATAACCAACTGATGGCATAGATTTAGAATCATAATACAATGAACCTACTACCATTATTTTAAGAACCACACCAACTCCTATCTTCATTCATCTAGTTAATGATTTCAATTCATTTTGTAATAACTCAACAAAAGTGACATAAGTTCTCGTGCAAAAGTTCATAAAATAACTCAAAACTCTACCTAATCAGCAAAACCTTATCAAACTGTTATAAAATGCCTTCAATATTTGTTTAACTTTAATACAACTTGTAAATATGGAATAACTCCACAAACCCAGGCACAATAAATCATCCAAATTGCCCATATTATTTTTTCAGTATCATAGTCTAATGTTCAAAAATAAGATTAAATAAAATAAATCTAATATAAGTCTCAACATATTCCTACAACTAATTTGGATTTAGGAACAATCATCTCTCCACCAAGTCCAGAGAATAGTTGATATAAGCAAATATCTCAAAAAATATAACAGAAAAATGCAGAAAATACAAGTTTTAGATAATACAATTTCAAAATATGTTCAGCAACAAGTGTTTCTGTATTTCCATAATTATAAAACAAAACTGGTATGACGCATAATTCAGACCATTAGTATATATATATATATATATCCACTCTTACATAGAATACATAATTAACAAAAATAATATACTTACATTCCTCAGTTTAGATTCTTCAACAATTTCAAGTAATCACAATTGAAGATAATGTATGAGTTGATCATTTATAAAACCTAAAAATAAATAAATTAAAATTACAGAAGTAATTAATAAGATTATGTAATTTGCAATATGCAGTCTCCATATATATACATAACTATATGCAAACTATCTATGTACTATTTAAAGATGAGTGTGAAAATAATATACCTATATATAAACACTATTTCATTATAACTGATTTTTGATTTTTTAATTAATTAAATGATAATTTCAATCATACAATAATGATAGATTGTTAATTATTGCTCTCCATTTACATTCAATTCTAAATAAATGTAGATTATAAATATTGATGATACATAACCAATCCTAGCAGAAAATTAAATTAAATACCATAAGAACACAAGGCTTTGTAAACAAATGGGAGTTTCAGTAAAATGTAAGAAATTAAATAAAATAGCTAAGTAAAATATCATTAAAAAGTGTCAATGCACTGCAGACTACCATTAACCTACAAATTACTAACAAGTTAATCCGCATATGAGTAATCGAAAATTGACTCTATATGCATGGATTTTATACTGTTCAAAAGTTGAACTTCAAATAGGTGATGTTAAAATAAATAAAGATAAAATTATTATCAGGTATATCAAAAAACTAATTAAAAAAATAATTTCAAACAATTTTTTTTATCATGGTTTTTAACTTAAAATAACATTATTCCAGCAAAAATATGTTCTCTTTTCAGACTAGGAAACAAGTAGCAAAACAATAATCCACACAATGCCATTTCATACCGATTACATAACTATTTTTTGTCTACTTTGTGATGGTATATGAACATGATTTATGTCATGGTTAGTGTCATTGAATAATTATCCGTATGACTACTGTTCCATATCTAGTTTTAAATTACTTTCACCAACTGCCTACTTTAAGCCTAACTAATTTAATTCATCACAACTAATACTCTTAATTTAGCTTCACTTTTATTTTTATTTTTTATTAATATAATGTTCTACTTCATTGACACTACCTATTTATATTTTATACCTATATAACACATAAAAATAATAAAATATGTCAATACTTTAAATTATTTAAAATTCTATATCATATAATTAAATTATAAGTTATTACCAATTATTATTTAAATTACTACCATTATGAAAATTATATATTTCTTTTTAATATCAATATTTCATTACTTATGTATATCAGTTATAATTAATGTTGAATACATTGATAAACATTGAACTTCGATAGTTATAAAAATAAATCCATATGTATTAAATAAAAATGTTTCAAAATAAATAAGTACATAAAAAATTAAAATAACTAAAAAAAAAAAACATTAAAATGTATGTACACGCTACATCAATTACAATAATAGTTTTGATATGGAACTCACATCAATACAAAACCCTAACAAAATTATAGAATAAAAATATTAAAATAGTTTATTGGGTTGAAATATAAAATATTTATCATTATTCTTATAATTAATCTTATAATTTAACAATTTAATACTTCGAAAAAAAAATAATTCTACTTATTAATAAATAAAACATTTTGATATACCATTCCGCAATCTCCATTCTACACATACCTTTTATGTACAACCTAAAAAAAAAATCTATAGTCATTATTCCCCTCCAAGTATAATTATCAAACAGAAATCCATAAATAATTTTGACTTATTTTTTTTTATTTACTGAGCAATTTGAAAAAAAATCTAAGTATTATACAATAAATTTGTATTTCTTATATTAATATTTTATATTTATGTATAAATTAAAATGTATTATATGTTTAATTTATAAAATTCAATTTAGGTACATTTCTTTATATTACCATTTCCATATTTTTTAATTATTTATAAGACATTTAATTAATATTACTAACTGTAGTCTGTGCTCAACAAGGGCATAATAATTTATAATAAATTCTTTGTCTACAATAAATTATTATTATTATTATTAAATGTACTCAATCATTATCCTTATTAAGATGAAGTTTATTCTAAAGAAATTTTCTTCATAGTTATGCATAATATAAGATTAAAATCAAATAAGTAAAATTTAACATGTAAATGTTTTAAGAAAACAAATTTGATTAAATTTTAGAACATAAGTTTGTAAAAATAAATCTTAATTTTATTAAAATACTTAAATTTAATAAGTTAATTATTATTTAGCTACTTATATATTAACATAAAAATACAAAATAATTTCTTCTATAAAATATATTGACATTGAAAATAATAATAGCAATAAATAATAATAAAAATAGCAACTATAAAAAAATTGTCACTAAACCAACTAATTATGTTTGATCATTTTATAATTAAAGAAGTTATAAATATATTAATGACCTAGTACAGTTACATAAGTAATGACCAAGGATAAAATTTTGATGCACTTAGCATTGTTTTCCAAAGCTTACTGTGTGATGCTTGTCTTGTCATAAATTTGTTTTATGTACTTTTTGAATGAGAATAGGAAAGTTTATTTTGCATTTTTTTGTTTTTAGGTAATTTTCTTTATTTTTTAGAGCATTTTAAAATTTTTGGAGATTTTTTTGAATTTTTGGAAACAAAATTTGGATTTGAAATTTTATTTTAAGATTATTAAGTTTTTTAAAGCATTAAAATCTCTGCCCTAGTTATGACTAATTGATATAATATATTGGCAGAGAGAACCACCTATTTGAATATGAATTAAATTAAGAATATTCAAGAAATCAATGTGAATACACTCTATGACCTACACAAATTTATTTTTATAATATTTTATTATAAATTATACTTCATTTCATATCAATTAAAATTTCGCAACTATAAGCCTTTCTGATCAAACTTTTATGCTACTTTAAATTTCTTTATAATAATTCAAAATTTTTAATTACTGTACAAAAAAATGTATTGATTGTAAATACTCAATTCATAAATAATATTAAAAAAAATAAAAATATCAAATTTATCTATTTTATATAAATGGGAGAAAACTTAGAATTTTGCCATTTTTCTAATAATTAAAAATACTATTATGGTATTAAATATTAACTAATTTTAAATAAACTAAAAAAAATATTAGACATCATGAGGATTATGAAAATAATTTTTGACATTTTCTAAAAAATAAACTCCATAAAATATCAAATTTTTTGAAAATAATAAAATTAATTATATTAATTAATTACATTATATTGATCATCTTCATTATCTCAAGAAATAGATCTTCTTTCTGAGACACCATGTATATTACATATAAACAATAATTTCTGTGCAATCATTATTATATTTAATGTAGAGTATGTCAGTACACAAATATTACATTTTATAAAAGTTATAAAACAAATGTACTCTATCAAAAATATCATCACGTGATTATGATATCATCACAATTCATAAATTGGATAATACAAAAAATTTGAACTTAAAATCTAGAATGAAGTAGAACTTCATAACTTTAATTTGAAAATAAGGCATTTTCAATTGACTACAAAATACAATTCTAAGATTCTAATAACCTATTATATAGAAATTAATCATTATATTTTTCTATACTTAACATATTACTATACCTGTCAACACATAGATTGAAAAATAAGGCAATAGTCAATTTACAATTTATACACCGACATTATAAAATCGATTGAAATATTACTATTAATACTTAACTATAATAATTTATGCTAAAGAATAGGGTAGTAATAACGTCTATATGATACCAACTACAAAATCCTTTGCAATATTGATGACTTAGTTTTCTATGCAGTTGATATACCCATAATTATTTTGCTTGAAGGACAAAAGCTAAGGATATTATAATTTATAATATTATTTTATATAAGATATATAAATATGCACACACACACATACACAAATAGCATAAGAACATACTTTATGGTACATATTTGACCCCAATAAAATAAACAAAATATTGGTATATTAAAATAATCTATTTAATGTAAATAAGCAGTTTAAAATAATTTATATTGTATTATTTTATATGAAAGGCATTAGTGTATTACCAATTTTAAAGAAAAGTATATGATTACAGAAAAATAAATATGATCAGAAAACCTAAACATTCTTAATATTATTCAAAATATAAAACTATGAATTTTTTTTTGAAAATTTCCTTTAAAAAATGTATACATTTTAAAATAATTTAAAAACATAAATACATTAGAAAACAAAAAATCAACATAAAAACTTAGATGAACCATGATTACATGTATATAATTATTAATTAAATAAAAAAATGTAACTATTAATTTATTTGCATTTATGAGTTGCTAGTTAACTTTTAAAAAATTTAAGAATTCTAAACGGTACTCAAAATTGAAGCAAATTATAACATCTCATTATTGATTGGATAAATTAAATAAATAGTTTTAGTTATTTGATGGTTTGGTGTACAAATTTGTCCAATAATACATTCACGATGAAAAGATCCATCAAACTACTCAATTAGATGGCAGTCAAAAATTCATTACCCAGAATCCAATACAGTTGAAATGTTCAAGTCAAAGGTTAATATAACGACAATAATGAATCAGAAACTTTATATTAATTTGTCAGTGAAAAAAACAAAGACCCATGTCTGTAGAGCTGTTTTTAAAGTATGTGAGGCCCCAGGGTCTAATATACATAAAGGACCTTTAAATACATAAAGCAGATACACATATTTTCTTAATACATCAATTAGTGTAAGCTATTAAAAAATTTTTTTTTTTTAAAAAAAGAAAGAAAAAATGTAAAATTATAATATTTTGTAAAAATAATGTAATTTTTGTATATTTGGGGCCTTCAAATTCCGAGAACCCTCGACGACAGAATGTCTTTCTTCTTAAACTACTGAAATTCGAGTGACGGAAAAATTAAAAAATCGAGAATCTGGTAGTAAAGAACTTTGAATTCTGTTTTTTCCCCGATCCATTGAAACTGAGAGGGGGAAAATACGTAATACAGGATTCTTTTAAAATACATGCGACATACCAGTTTGCCTGTTTAGTCAATGGTCGTTGTGAAAACGATACTTGTTTGAGACTGGATCGCGCGCAACTTTCGATCATCAGATCAATATTGACAGATGAAAGTCGTACAAGTCATTCATTACAGATAAAAAACGTCAGAGATTTTTCTCTCTCTACGTGGGCTGGCGATACGTGACCGCCAGGTCTTGGAACTCATAGTTGATTTTTCAACAGCTGTACTCGATAAGGAAAAAAAACTGTTAACGAGTTTCGTGCAAGTTGTATTACAGAATTCCGGTAGAAACCGAAAAATAACCCTCTCCCCCTCAGGACGAGGGAGACTGGATCGGCTTAAGGTGAGGGTGGGTAGGTGTATGCATTTGGGGGAGGAGGATTAAGCCGGGTAACATCGAAAATCAACAATAACAAACGATAACACGGGATATACATTCCGGTGTAAATCTCTGCGAACGCGATTTATCGATATCGCACGACGATATCGAGATACTCGTACATCCGATAACGAACGAGGGTACTACTGTTCAGTACTCACCGACATCACGGGCCCCAATTGTCGGCGGGCGGCGTTATGGTGCCGTTCGTTGCGCGGCCGTTATTTTCTTTTTTCCACTTTATCTCTTTCTCTATCACTGCTTGGCATTCGTTCCCTCCGGCCGACGCGTGTGGCGTACTGGTGGTGCGAACACCACTCGTCGGTCGCTTAACGGGAACGGAATATGACCGACGACGCCAACCACTCGCAGATCGCACCGGCCCGCGGACGTCACTGAACCGCTCACACGCTACTACACGTCAACACTACTACAGCATTTGTCGGTCGCCGCAGTCGTCATCGTCGCATGTGATAACACGACCGGTGGTGGCGGCGGCGGCGGCGGCAGTCGCGGTCGACGGCGTTCGACGACCAGTGGCGGCGGCGGATCTGGCACGCGGCACGAACACAACCGATTTCAGATTTGGTTGCGATAACGACGCCGTTCGGTCCGGACGATAACCGTTCGTAGCGGACATTATTTCATCGGACGGCGCTGGCGGTTGCCGTTTCGGACCGTTCTCGATCGACCGCATACGTTTCGTCGGTTCATGGTCGACGTGCAGAAATTGTTCGTCTATTTGCACGGTGAACGAAATCGCAATCGTGAAACAACGTACAAAACAATAACAACTGCAACGGGAGTACCGTAGACGGCGGCTGTTGGGCGGTTCTACGGTACCGCGGAGGGGTCGAGGGGCTTGAAGCGGTCTAGGTGGTGGCGTCGGCGCGGTGAAGGTGTTAGGCGGACGGCGTATCTGCCGACAATACGGCCGAAAGGTGCGGGTGACGACGTCCGACGCGGTGTAGTGGTGCGCGCGTTTTTTCGCGGCCGCCGCGTCGGGATGCGTTTTTCGAATCACCCGCGCGCGTCACTACCGCCAACCGACCACGGCCCGTCCAGTGTGACCAATTCACGATGCATCTCTCGCACGACCGTCAGACACCGTTCAACTTCCGTCGTACAGTGACTTTTAACGGACAAGACGTTTTTAATTTTACGCCTCGCCAATCGCTTACGCGCGCCCGTCACTGATGCAACGGACGCGTTGTCGTCGCCGTGGATCAGTCTCGCCCTTCCCTCACCCGCCCCAAAGATGGCGTGGTTTCGACGGGTGGTTTTCGCGATACGGTACGCACTGGACGTGCGAGCGGAAAACAACGACTTCGGTTTCACGGCGAACAAAAAATACGTGCATCGACAATTCGAAGATTTTCGATTCCCTCTGCACCGCTTAAATTCATACGCGAGTTAATTGACGATGAGGAGGGATATTTGTAGCGGGATTTCCGCAGTGACAATACATCCCGAGAAAAATTCCCATCCTTTTTTTTACCACCTACTCAAATCGATTTATTACACGTTGGATATTTTTGAACGAGCTCTTGTACTATAAATTGTTAAAAACTTATTTAATCAATGCATCAGCGCCGCAGCTAAGGAGTCTTATTGTCTTATAACCCTCTTCCCGAAGTGCGAGTATTTTCTAAGAATCCTTCATACAAGTTTCATAATTTAATTTCCAATAAACGATACCCGTGCACGTACACGTCCTTATTATTCACGTACCACGTACAGCGATATTTAATTATTAAGACTTCACTCAAGATAACTACATTGTAGCTTATACTATTTTCAGCGTTGCTTACTGTTTTATTTAAAGGTTCTACATGATGGATTCCGAATGATTATTCTTTTCTCGACCAACTGAGAAATGTAATTTTATGAAAGATTTTTCAATCTCACCCGGCTTCCATAAATATGAGTAAATTCTGGTCGCGCATAAGTTGTAAATTTGTAATATATTTGATGAAAACGGAAACCGAACTAAAATCGTGAGTGCCCTGTAATGTCTGGAGTTGGTAATGTGGTATATACGTATTAACAGTATTCAATACAATTCCATTATAATTAATAATAGTTTATAATAATTGAATGATATTTGGAACTATCGAGTCGCATACGGTGTACATATTTTGGATTCCTGAGTACCCTTATTTAGTTGTAATGAATTCGAATTAACGAGTCAAGTTCACCGTGCAAGTTTGAAGAGATTATTATCTATCGAAATAATCAACATGTGTTTTTTATTACAACGCGAAGCTTCAAATCGGAGTTTTACGAACTGCCACTCCATAGTATATATAGGTTGACTAAGACAATATGTACTAAATTATGATATACATACTAAATGTACAATTTAATTATAAACCCATAAATTTTCATAAATATCTGCAATATCTGAGAGATTCTTTTTTTTTAATACATAGGACATTGGCGTCGCTTTGTACTGAAGTATAAAACAACAATCTTATAACGATTACTCCCCGCTGACCCTGAGACATGAGTGACACTACGTGAGGTCTATGAGATTGTGGCCAGTTACCATATGTCCAAAACTGCATCCTTGCATGTTTACTATCGTTAAAGCTACGCATTGTTATACATTTACGTACCTACTACAAACCGAAAGTATGTCCGTTACTCCAAAATTTGTTTTGTTTGTTTCAATATTTATATTTATAAAGGATGACGTTGGATCTCTAAATTCCAATACAGGTCTATATGAGATAAATTTACCAAATTTTCATTTTTTTTTTTTTAACAGTTCCACAAGACTGCAACAATGGAGTATGTATCAAATTTGAAATACCTATACTTTTGATGGATTCTATAGAATAAAGTAGTGCATATTTTATCTAATATACTGGGCGACATATATCTCGTCTACAATATGATATATTTAATTACTGGGCGACAACGTTGTTTTGGTAAAAATTAAGATGTTTAAAATTATTTTAAAAAGTTATTTATTAATGATTCATTATGCTTGATTATGTAACTAGTTTATTATTTCCTTTGATAATTTGAAGTTGAAATATAAATTTTATTACCAGAAAATCTACAACGGAAAATCCATGCGATAAAAACCATACGATATTGTATTCTATACAGTATTTAGAAAATACGTCATTCGAAAATAAAAGTTCACGTGTTCACATTTATATTTTGTATACAAGTATAGGACACGCGAACGTCACTCACTTTTACAGGTTGAGCGTTAGACATGAACAATGTTTATATTTTTAATGAAATTGAACGATTGGGCCGCCAGTTGCCCACCCCTGATATATACATTACAAATTTGGATCGTACTATTAGAGTTTCTAAGGTTTGAATATTAAGCTTTGACATTTTTTTATTCTATATTTCTATATCGCAAAAAATAAGCATTATTTAATTTAATTACATATATAATCGAAAAGTGCAATTTAATTATTTAATTTTAATTGCATTTATCAATAAATTTAGTTCTAAGCTCGATGATAAATAATGACAAATAGTACATTCTTACTTTATTAGTTTATTGTTAAAATATCATTTCTTAAAATTATGTCTATGACACATTTGTTGACCATAGTTTCAGATTTAGTAATAGTTCAAATACCCTCAATTTTTGTTTATCAAATCGTTGACTTAATGTCTACTGGTAAGCTATGTAAATAAAATACAATATTTAAAGTCATACATTAAAGTATAAAAATAATATGGTAAATATGTATTTTTAATTGTTCAACTTACTATGTAATTAAACAATATGTAGCAAATAAATTTTGTTTTTAGTCGATTAAGAACCATTTATTATTTAATAGCTTATGTTTTTGCATTAGTTTGGTAGACATGAAAATACGGTCTTTCGAAAACAAAATTAATGAGAAAAAAATATGTTTTAATATGATCACTATCTTAAAGAAAAGAAAACATCGGGAAAATCAATCTAATCTAAACGTTTTGATGCATGTGAAATCAAACATGTTTATCCTTATATCACTAGAGCTTTAGTGCATTTTTTGGAGAGTTAGCAATCGAATTCGTATTAACTACGTGGTCGCGGGTCAAACAATTATTCGATAAATTACAGTTCTAATATTCTCGAGCGTATTTGTAGTAGTCAATAGGTACTAATCAAATACGTAGGTATGTATAATACTTATGAACAGAGACGTATTCAGAAATTTGGCATCCCGGTGCAAACGTTTTTCTGCCCCTCCCCTCAATAAAAATTATTTAACTTTTTCTGTCTACTGAGCGCGTCAGAGCCAACCTTCCAGTAACCACCCGTAGGCCGTTACGTTATCGTTATATTTTCAAGTGCTTTCTAACTTATTTGTTACATTTTAGTTGTTAATGTATTCATTTTTTGTATTCTGGTGGAACCAGTTTCCATTGATTATTTAATCAAAAATTTCCATTAAAAAATTTTTAGTTGTTAGAAGAAGAAAGTACAGTTTAAACTTTAAACATTATGTTATCTTTATAAATTAATCACAAATATAAAATAGGTTTATTTATTATTTATTATTATTACAAAACAATATTTACAATTTACATATTTTTTTTACGAGTTTGAAAAAAACTTTTTGTGATGTCTGATTCAATATTAAATATAGCTATACTGTTTAGTCGTTCATCGGTCATTCTCAACCGCGAGTAACTTATTTACGTTTTAAAGGAGAGGTTTTTCATCGACCGTTTTTGTCCCCCTTCCTCTGAATATTTCCAATCTTAGAATATTATCTTAGATAAAAAAAAAAATTAACCAATTTATATTATTGTTCAACAACATAAAATAGGCATGTAAAAATCTGATGCCACGGACCGTAGAATTATACCAAAGTCAGTTTCAATTAATTGTCGGAAATAGTATTATAATTATTACATATTATGTAGCTATAAAATTAAAATATATAATCCTATGTTTTCTTTGCTATTTTTAATTATTTATATATTTATACATTATTTATAATTAATTATTTATACAACCTGTTTTGTCATTTACGCAATACGATAAATACTAAAAAAAAACAAAATATTCTTATATTATATATTATACACTGAAATGCGTGTATAAGTTTACATATATATTTTTTTTATTTGTTGAGGTATCGAATTATTTCCAAGTAGTGCACAATACGACCAGATAATTTGAGGGGATACGAGTAACGACGATGACACCAAAGACCAAAGTTGAACGGCGGGAAAAATAAAAGAAAACTAGAAGTATAAGCAATATATTTTATGAAAACCACTAATTTTACAGAATTCGTCGAAAATTACTATTGTTTTTGACTTGAAAGGGAAAGATAAATAATTCGTAAATCTAAAACCAGTAACATTTATTATCCATAAACTAATAAAATATAACTTTTATAATCATACGTTTACGACATACAAGTGTGTACAATGAAGTACACGGAGGACGAAGAATATTGCTAAATACTTAAACTATATAAATCCTTCTGTGCCTGACATAATACATTTTTTTTTTTTTTAATAATAACTAAATATCTCTAGCACTTATGAAAAAAAAGTAAATCACAAGTCACGACTATTACCTATTCCTATAAGTAAAAAGTTTCGAGTTTTATCATCTAAGCCTATTATAAAATGATCTTATTCTCTAGAGGTTTCAAAACATTTATAATATTACTATTCAATGAAAACTGTTGAATGGATTCGTAACAACGTGCATTGTATACTAATATAACAAAAACTCTAGCACATCATAGCAGTATACAACATGTGCTGGCCATACATTTCTTAACGTAAGTTCTAATTTCTATTTTAAAAAACCATTTTACTTTCAATAGTTATTTTACCGTAACAAGATGTGGTTTAATTTTACCATAGTTAATTGTTATTTTTAAAGTTACTTCGACGTAATAACAATACAACAACAAATTTGATGGCAATGAAAGATTCAAACGAGAGAAATAAAAATAACTATTTTTAAACCATATAGATTCCATTCAATACCGAAAAA